AACTGTCCACTGAGACGAAAGAAAACAAGCAACCGTCCGCCGTGGATAAACCGGGAACTGCAAACCGCGTTTAAGAGGAGAAATAAAGTGTGGAGACGCTATCGACAAACAGAGAGTCCTGAATAACTGAAGGAATACAAACGACAGCGGAATGTGTGTAAACTCGAGGCTAATAGACTTCGACGCAACTATGAGCTGTGCATATTACAAAATTCCTTGGAGCATCCTAAAATCCTCTACAGTTACGTACGTAATGGACAGCGTAATCGCGATCCGATTCCAGCGCTAAGATCCCAAAACGGAGTACTTGAGACAGATGACCACCTGAAAGCATCAGCCTTCTCCAGTTTCTTTCAGTCCGTATTCACTCATGACACAAACCTTCCCGCCATGCCTTACTTAGACCAAGGACAAAATCCTTCCTGTCCTGCATTGGAAGACAATCTTTTCTTCTCGCCCACGTTGATAAGGACCGAACAACGCCGGCTGAAACCTGCCAAATCACCTGGTCCAGATGGAATTCATCCACTTGTCCTCCGAGAATTAGCTGATGTACTCTGTGAGCCGGTGTCCATGATATTTCGGAAGTCCATGGAAGAAGGCGAACTGCCGGATAATTGGAAAACGGCCCATATTTCTCCAATCTATAAAAGAGGATGCAGGCTGGAGCCCGAAAATTACCATCCTATTAGCTTAACCTGCATTCTCTGCAAGGTAATGGGACGATTTATTAAAGGGCATTTAATGTCGTTTCCGGAGCAGAGGGACCTGTTATGTGCTGCTCAGCACGGATTTCGTCGGGCTTACTCCTGTCTGACAAGCAGTCTTTACTCTCAGGAAAAGTAGACAAGAGCCATAGACCAGGACCGTCCAGTGGACGTCATCTTATTTGACTTTAAGAAGGCGTTTGATAGCGTTCCTCGTGGACGACGCCTATAGAAGATTTGGGAGTATGGAATACAGGGCAACATTTTTAAGTGGATTAAAAATTTTCTGTCATGCAGGCTCCAAAAAGTGATCGTTGGTACCACTGCATCCGAATGGGTGCCCGTAAAAAGCGGCATTCCGCAGGGCTCAGTCTTGGGTCCTCTCCTCTTCTTTATCTATATAAATGACTGTCCTGCAGACCTTGAATGCGATGGCATAATGTTTGCAGATGATATAAAGATCTGGAACACAATCAGCTGTGTTGACGACGCGCAGAAGCTACAGGAAGATGTTAATAAGCTGGCTGCGTGGGCCATCAAGTGGCTTCTAGCGTTTAACGTATCCAAATGTGTAGTCTTGCGACTAGAATCTGGTCGGAGGCGCTTCCCAAAACATCAGTACATCATAAATGGGATTCCACTAAAAGAAGTGGACACGCACGAAGACCTAGGTGTCTGGACACGCTCAAACTTGCTGCCCACTCAGCACTGCAAACGAGTCGTCCAAAAGGCAGCCAACATCGTGCACTGGATTAGGCGGGCTTTCAAAATCTTTCCTCCAGAACTCTTCTCACAGATATTCGGCACGTTCGTCAGACCGCACTTGGAATACGGAATGCCATCATGGATGCCCTGGATGAAGAAAGACAGTGATGCTATAGATCAGGTGCAACGACGGGCCACAAAACTGGTGGACGGTCTCAGGATTCTGTCCTACCCAGAAAGACTGATCCAGTTAAATTTGTTCCCCCTATCCTATAGACGAATGAGGTGTGACCTGTTATGGACATTCCGCATTATCCACGGGCATGAATGTTCGCTCAAAACTGAAGACTTCTTTGAATTCACGACCGCAAGTCACCTGCGCGGTCACCCGCACAAAGTCAAGCGGGAGCCTACACGCCTAGACCATCGGAAGTTTTCCTTCAGTCGGCGTGTTGTTCAACCGTGGAACTCACTTCCAAGTGAACTAGTGACATCTGATACAATGGCTGTATTCAAAAGGCAGCTGGATCGTTTCATCTTTGACAAACGACGACTCTCACTACAGGACTATCTGCGACCAGCCATAAATTTCATTTCTTGATTTCATCCCTACTTAACATATCCCTGACTTTTAATTAAATGTTCCCTCTCAAACTATTCAAATGACTGCACTTTATGCCGATTGTATATAACTGCACTTAAAATTTCATATGTACAATGAAAAGACCGCCTGCCGCACCCTTCGCAGTCCCGCACTGTGAAAACGTTCTCCGTGAACAAACATGTTACTGACAGAATTTTAGTAAAATGTACATTTAACACTTATATTTTATGTACCGCTTTCAATAGGGTCATCAAGGGCACTGTCTACTACCCTAAAATGCACCATTATTATTATTAGTATTATCTAAGCAGAGACTGGGCGTATGTTTGCTTGAAAAATGTCGCTTGACTGGACAGAACTAGTCTGTTATACCAAACTGACGCCTTGCGTACACCTGACAGTTCGACCATCGGTTTCGATGATGTCCACCGTGTGCCCCACAGTTGCAGCAGCTATGGCAGCAGGGACGGTGACTTACGCAGGGGTTTATAGTGCCAGTAGACTTGCGTAGCATCTACCTACACTCTCTCCTCCTCCCTCGCCCGAGCCCAGTGTCAAGACAGAGTCAAGAAGACCGGATACGAGAGAGTCCGCAGGTGGATGGCTCGGACGGATCCTCACCTTGGCGTTCCACCACACCCCCTGGTCCACACAACAAATAACCAGGATTTCAACCAACACAAGAGAGATTTGGAGGCTGGCACGGCCGAAGCCGCACCTGGGCGTGCCGCCAACGCCTGGCTCGGATCCCACACTGTGATGGGAGTGCGATAAAGGCCACATTAAAAAGGAGCCATTGCAGCCTGACTCTCAGACAGCCTCCGGTCAAGGAGGAGGTCCAAGTTACCCCGTCAGTTGGCAACCTTCCAAGCCACGGCTTTTAGCGCACCGTGATAGCTTCAAGCGCGTCAGATTGTTTATAATGAGGAGGATGTGCGCTGAGTCGTCGACCTCACTCTCCCTTCCCACTCCCACACCCCAGCCACTGTCCGAGCGGGTCAACAGACTGGAGTGGGGAATGGGCGCGGTGGCTGTCATGGTTGAATGACCATGACTGCGCGCGCCACGGCACGACCTGGCCCCCCATACACACAACACCAGGATTTCACACAACGGGGGTTGAACGGCGTGTCTCTCACTTGCGTGAGAGTGCCGTGGCAGGCGCTGTTTCAGCCCGTTCCCAGCCCACCAGTCCGCCTGTGGCGGTCAAGGATGTGAGATCCACTGAAACCACGCACAATAAGTTCGTTTCGTCTACTGTCAGAAGTCAGGGAGCTGTGAGGACTAGTTTATTCTGTACACAGGGCAGGTTGCCGTAAGTTGGCGGTTTGCTTGCAACAGAGAAAAGCATCCGTTCACGGAGAGCGTCAGTCGCGGTGTGTCGCGTACACCTACCACTAATGCGGATTACCGTCATTTTTTATCACTAGCATACATCACTGAGTGCCCCCGGGATCCATTCACGCGATTTTAAGCACAATATTATGTAAAATGTTTATGTTACTGGCAACAATTTGGTAGCCTATTTGATCGTCATTAGGTATGGTATGCGCCGTCTTTAAAGGTTTTCGAAGGCATTGCCCATTGCTTTTAAAATATACTGACCTATACAGACCTATGATGCAGAGTAATTCACATAACCCGGAATTCCTGACGGGTAACAAATCATCAAACCCTCCGAGTGCGGCTGATGAGCTGTTTCCTCATCTGGCCGAGGACAGAGTTAGTTAGCAAGAGATTGTTATTAGTGGAGATCTCAATGCCCCTGTTATAGATTGAGAAAATCTGACAGTTGACGATACACCAACTTCCTTCAGCTTTAAGCTAATGAACCTCAACTCGACCTCCTCTGGCACAGTATGCAAAGACACCAATGTGATTTAGAGATAACCAGAGAGTCAACCGCTTGTCCAAATTGTTCTGGAAGACTTCTATAGCGTTGATGATGAGTATTCCAATGCAGCTCTCAGTATGTTTGATCATACTGCACTAATGTGGGATAACTCGGTCTGTTCTTAACGCCAGAACAGAACGGAGGACCAGCGAAATGTGACGAAGGCAGGATTTAACATGGTGAAGAACGAAGTGATATTCGTGAAGTAAAACTGTTTGCTCAAGGGGATTCGGACCTCTTTAAGTCGGATTTAATGCTGTTGTTCAATGAATGTATAAAAACGACCAATCGCCCTGCTTGGCTAATAAAAGACTTCGAAAGACAGTTATGAGGGAAGGAATGAGGATTGTCAAAATACCTCGAGAAATTTCGCCTTCAAGTAAAAGCTGTCAGAAAATGGATCCGCCGGGCAAAGAAGGACTAGTAACTTCGAATTATCCAGCTGGGCGAGAATAAGTCTATGACTCCATTTCTTGATACCATTAGTCGCAGTACTTAAGGGTGATAATGGTGTAGAAGTCATTGCAAATGGCGTGAACGTCGAACACTTGGGCAGGTACTTTGCTTCGGTATTCGTCCCCAATGTCAATAGCGCGGTTGCAAATACCAGTTTCACACTTGAATCCAAAACTTTGCGGCCTATGTCAAGAAGAGACAGCTGTAAAATTTCGAAGAAGCAAAGTCACCCGGATGTGGACAATATACCGGCCAAGTTCTTTAGAGAATTGGCCAACGAATTACTAACCCATATCTTTCAGTCGTCATTTGAATAAGGGAGCTTGTCAATTATGGCGATAGGTAGTCAGCTGTAGATACTGAATCTCAATAACGTGCGATGCGGCTACGGCATATCTACGACCAACTTATAAGTGGGAAGACAGTGCACACCCAGCCATAGCCTATAGCGCGACAGAAATATGACCGGAAATCAAAAGCACTGGACAGGCATGCAAAGGGGTGGGTATAAGTATAAATGGGCATTACATGATCGCAAGGACATTTAAAAAAGTAAAGTTGGCAGTTTGGAAAAGAGGGGAGGGGTCGTGGAAGTTCCAGAGTTCTGTACAAGTCAGTCCGAGAGGAAAGATGTTCACCGATCTCTTCGTGTATCAGACTTTTCGCTAAAAGGTGAAAAGGGGAGAATCAGTTGTCGGACTGCGATGAAAATCGAATGAAAATGCACTGCTGCTTTGCCAATTTTTTGGTAAATTAAGTGTAATTTGCTACCTGCACATCGTACCAAAAATAAAAGGATAAACGCAGGTCCCTAGTTGTTGCGGAAAATTTCAAATCTGTATTTTGCGGCAATAGCCATTCAATGCTAGATGGCAACATACGAGGCCTAACCAGCCGTAGTGGTCAGTGAACCCCAAAAGTTGGCTGCACTGCGCAGGACGCATAGTCCACCTAACTAGCCCTCAAGGTCATTAGTAATCCTAGTCATCAGAAAGCGGAATTAGTATTACCGCAAATCAATGAGAACGGTGATATATCTAGGAAAGTGCGCGCAGTCATCAGACAGGTTTGCACATTCGAATGAAGTGATAAAGCCGCCTTTCCGTAGTATTCCAGTGTTCACGCCCGCGCTGCGGCATGGAAATGGGTGGCAAAACTGAAACTGCTATCCCTAATTTATCAACCGTTACCTGTGATACCGATTGTTAAGGCGATTGCCGATCTTTGCAATGCAGTTATCAACCGCGTTCGCCTTGGCACTGTTCGCGACTCACTATCAGTGCATTTAATAACTGCCTTAAAAGTCACGATTTTCGGATTCGGGCTTGACGCAGTGAGGTAAGGGTCAGATGTCCGGTGTTTCACTAGCCGCGATGTCCTTTCCTAAACCAACCGCCCCAGCACTTTTGAAGGCAAAAATATCTAGTTATGCCATACTTTTCTGCCACAGACAAGAGGTCCGTACTTTTCGCTGCTTTATTGTACTCACAGTTCCCAGAGCAGCCTCTGACGTAGTTTACTTGGTGGAAACTACGAAAATCCGAGCCGTAAAGAGGGGAATCACAACACTCTCCATTAAAATTTGTCCGCTTCTGATAAGAGCCGATAAATACACTGAATCAGGGATCCTTTCTTGTTACCAGTTACCGCGGCGTGTGGACTCTGCTTGAACAAAACATGGAGAGGGCAGACGAATTGAAAGGCTTAGATCGAGGCATGACTTCACGCCACACGCGAATCGTCACTGGCTCAATAACGATAGAGAGAATGTACTGTAGCAACTCCGCTCTAGCTTATACCTCCCGAAAAATATCTTGGACTCCTAATCAGGATTTGGACATTTCCATTTGTCATAAAGTCAGTTGGTGGTGGAAGTTCTTCATTTGATTGCTTGTGACTCCTCCCTACAAAAGGGATTCAATTCTCTTCTAACTGCTGATGTGACCTTTAGTTCTGACAACCCTGAACGTTATTCATTTTTCCGCTTCTACCATTTACAATGGCCATGTAGCTGGAGATAGTCACTCGCTCGAATCTAAACACAAAACTTCGATAGGCTAGTTTCCAAAAGTTATTTTTTATGAGTTAGTGACATTTATATGAAAAGTTGCTGAAACCTAAAACTAGACAACGGTACCCTATATACATCTCCCACGAGCTTCTCAGGATCGTAGGTCCGAGGCACTTCGTAATCATTTCATGGAAACAGCTTGTTTTAGTGGAGGGGTTAAGGCAAGGAATTTGACGGGGAAAACCTTATGGAATCACAGGACTAGCAAACTGTCTTGCCTGCCTTCATAGGCAGGCAGATATGGACTTGGGCTAACGAAAGCAAGTGACAATAAGTGAGTAATAATCCAATACAGGCGAAGAAGCGAGCCGCAGGAAGCAGTTCAGTTGAATGAAATACGATCACTAGAGCAGGTCATTTATTTGTCTGACGTTCCGGGTCCACATTCGAACTCACCATCAGAACCAGTCGCAGAAAAGGGGTGACGGGTGCAACTAATTTAACGGGACCCGGTCGCACCTTCAAGCTCGACGAGGCCGAAATTCTCGAGATGGCGATCGCGTGAGCTGGGTGAGTCATGGTTTTCAGACCGCAGTCAATTAACAGGCACAATGACCTCCCCACTCCATGCTCGGCGATGAAACTTTGCCTGAGTAGTGGAATTATGAATACGGAGGCGCACTTGCGAGCCCTTTATCTAGTGTCCATCGGTGAGCCAAATTGTTGTGCAATAATCAGGCCAATAACCAACGCCAGTAATTGGTCACGCGGGGGGGCGCGGGTGAACACCACTTGCAGTGACTATCGATAGAAGCGAATAGGCGAGGTCCCAGAAGCAGTCGCGTTGGAGGCATCAAGTATATTTGTCCGATGTCTCGGTTCCATACTCGAACTCATCATGAGAGGCAGAATCACTTAAGAGTGTGTTGTACAGGTGCTACGGTTGTTATAGCAGTCACTTTGTCACTGCATGCCTGTCAAAACTAGTGGCTCCCGCATCCGTTGCAGATAGCTGCACGTGGTGCGATATTGGCTTGGTGGCCCATGTGTTGCAGCACGCAGTTGTTACGCCCCTGCATGCCCATAAAAATGAGGCGGTTCCCGAATTCATAGCGGATGGTCACACATAATGCGATAATTTCTGAATTGCTCGCAGCAGTGTCGGTAATCGTCCGTATCCCATCATTTGTGGAATGCTGGGTCTTTAGGCCACCAATACCGGCACCAGACGCAGCGATCGCCTGCGCACTCTCCGCGCGACTAACTACTTTGCCCAAGCGAAGTTCCAAAAGGAACATGGAGAGGGAGACATTGCGCTTGCTAATTGACTGAGGGTCCGAAAACCATGACTCGAACGATTCGCAGCTCCAGCGGTTGTCCCCTCTCGCGAGCATTTCGACTACATCGAACGTGAATGTGTAGCTCAGTCCCGTGCAGTGCGCCGTAAATTGTGAGCTGGCGTCGTTCCTTCACAATGCTGCCGCACGGCTGGCCATCCGATTCCAGAGTAGTCCTTCAAGCTTCTCCGAACACTCGCTTTGCCCACAACTGCGCCAGAAGCGATAAATGACTCCAATCGTTTCTTACTGGCGCCTTATGGTTGCCTTCGGTATAGGTGCAATCCGACTCCGCGATCGACGAAGGTATCACCCACACACCGGGTTCAGAATCTCAAAAAAGGCCAGCGACTCCAATCGCCACAGGACTGTCTCGGCTATGAGTCCCGAAACTGAGGAGCCCATTGGCGTGCTTTTCATCTACAGCACCTAAGCCATTAAGCAATTATCGTGTCATGTGAAACTATTTATGATAAACGTGTGTCGGCAATTCTGGCAGACATGTAGTGTCATAGCAACTGCACCCTATAAATACTGTAACACCTGTGTAACACATTGCCCTTATCAGACTCCCCCTGTTGATGGATTCGAGTGTGGGTCCGAAACGCCAGGCAAATAAGGCTCTTGTTCCAGCAAACATGTCTCCAGCTTAGTGACAATGTAAGCGATCGAATGACCGAGTAATTATCGCGTCACAAGTCAACACCAGCGGCGAAATTACGGTAGGTAACGACTCGGAGGAGGACGAGCAAATAATCGTCGCACCCATTACAACCACTGGCGGTGAAAGCCGGAGCTGTTAATTAAGGTATGCATGTGGTCGCGTGGTAACTCCATCCAACCCGTGACCCATAGCGGAATTTGGCGATCATCTGGGACGACTAAGCGGACCTATTTGGGGCTGCACTGCTCACCCCCCTCGCGGGGGGGGGGCTGCAAAAGGTGCCCTAAAAAATGCTGGGCTCACAACATCTGCGACAAACCGTGGCTCGCAGACTGCAATACATGCAGATGAAAAAGCTAAATAAGAAACAACAATCTCTCTCTCACCCCTCCTACTCCCGTTCGCCCCACCCTGCAGGCTGCTAGGATGAGTCCGCTCACTCTAGCAGTCTGGAATGTTAGTTCCTTTTTAGACAAAAGACCGGAAAGGAGACATGCGAGAGTCGATCGGAAACTGACGCGTTACAAGGGGGAAATCATAGCACTCAGCGAAACCCAATTCTCCGACCCAAACCAAGTGGAGGTGGGTGCCGACTACACCTCTTTGAATGGTCGCCAACAGGCAGAGCGAAACGACGCCGGCATCGTCAAAGCCACCCGGACCGATATCGTGCGACGCCTGCCCCGTCTGTCGCAGGGCATCAACGATCATCTGATGAGCCTCCGCCTGTCTGATAGGAGAGACAAATTCCCCACCATCGTCAGTGTCTACGCCTCCCCCGATGACCAGCCCGGACAAGGTGAGAGACAAATTCTACGAAAACCTGCACGCCATCCTGGCGTCTGTGCTGAAGGCGAATAAGTTGATTGTCCTTGGTAACTTCATTTTCCGCGTCGGCACAGACCATGCTGCTTGAAGAGGAGCGCTGGGTACCCATGGTCTCGACGGCTCCAATGACAATGGCCTACTCCTCCTACGAACTTGCGCGGAACACCGCCTCATCCTGACTAACACATTCTTTCGCCCTCAGACGCGAGAGAAGGCCACGTGGATGCACTCTCGGTTGCGACACTGGCACCTGCTGGCCGAAGGCGAGACCAGCAGGACGTACTGGTGACAAAGGCGATCTCGAGTGCGGACGGGTGGACCAATCATTGCCTCGCCACCTCCAAGATGACGATCCGCCTACAGTCACGCAGGAGACCTCAAAATAAGGGATCATCAGGTAAGTTGGATACTGTTTTCTTAAGTGTGCCCGCTCCCCATCTTCATCCTCCATTTCAGCTTTTACGCTAGCCAACCTTCCAGTCGCCGCCGACGAGAACGCCTCTGTGAAAAACCGATGGTCCCAACTGAGGGACACAGCCCAGTCAACGGCCCCGGATGTCCTCGGCCGCGCACTTCGTCAGGGCCAGGAGTGGTTCGACGACGCTATCAGCGTCCTATCTGCCGAGCCTAACCTTCTGCACAAAATCTACCTAAACCGTCCTACCAATGACAACAAAACAGCCTTCTACCGTAGTCGCCGCCTTGTGCAACAGCGGCTGCGGGAGATGCATGACGCCTGGACGGCTCGCAAGGCCGAGGAGATCTAAGGATACGCGGACCGCAACGAATGGAATAACTTCTTCGCTGCGATCAAGGTTGTCTACGGTCTCACAGCCAAAGGAACCGCTCCTCTTCTCAGCGCTTATGGAAGTACCCTACTCACTGATAAGGCGCAAATTCTGGAGTGACGGGCCGAGCACTTCAGTGGCGTTCACAACCGTCCTTCCACGATATTCGACGCCACCATCGACCGACTGCTTCAAGTGCAGAACAACATCGACCTCGACCTCCCACCCTCTATCCAGAAACTCATCGGGTCCCTGCAGCAACTCTCCGGCGGGAAAGCACACGGATCAGATGCGATCCCTGATGTGATTTACAATCATGGCGGCCGCCAAATTATGAATCCCCTCACAACACTCTTCCAGATGTAACGCCAAAAGACAAGTCCCTCAGGATTTCGGGGACGCCACAATATGTCCATTTCTACAGAAAAGGAGACCGCCAACTCTGCGACAACCACAGCGGAATCTCGCTGGTTAACATCGCCGGAAAATTTATCGCTCGCGTTCTCCTCAACAGCCACCTGGAAGAGCGACTCTTGCCGGAAAGCCAGTGCAGCTTACGCCGTCACCGCGGCACCACCATGATATTTGCCGTCCACCAGCTCCAGGAAGTGACTGCCTCGATCTACTCACTCAAATGTTGCGTCAGCTATACGATGGCATGATGGCGGACAACGCAGCCGTCCCAGAGGCATTCGCAGTGACTAACACAGTGAAGCAGGGCTGCGTCCTCGCGCCTAATCTCTTCAATCTCGTGTTCTCTGTCATACTAGAGGACGCCTACTATGACGAAAGCCCCGGGGTCCACATCGCCTACAGGATGGACGGCCAACTCCTCAATCATCGGCGCATGCACTTCCGGTCAGGAGTATCAACAACTTCTCTTCGTTGACGATTGCGCCCTCAACACCACTACAGAAGGGCACATGCAAAGAAGCATGGGCCTCTTGGCCGCCCCCTGTGACAACCTCAGCTCCATCATAAACACGAAGAGGACAGTGGTTGTGCATCGGCTGCCACCCAACGCCGCCTACGTCGCACCCCAAATCGACGCGAACGGCGCCCAACTGCAGGTCGTGGACACCCTCACCCACCTGGGCAGCACCTTCTCGCAGCACCAAAATCAACGACGAGGTGGCCTGCCGGATCTCCAAAGCTAGCCAAGCCTTCGGTCGCCTGCAGAACACAGTCTAGAATTGTCACGGTCTCCACCTCAGCATCAAGCTCAAGATGTACAAAGCTGTCGTTTTGACGGCACCGCTGTATGGAGCGGAGACCTGGGCGCGGAAGCTTAACCACTCCCATCCTAGCTGTCTTTGGCGCATACTAAAGCTGAGATGGCAGGACCAGATCCCGGGGACGGAAGTAGTGAAAGGGAAGGGAATCCTTAGATGCCACGCCATGCTGAGACAATTGCAACTGCGCTGGAGTGGCCACCACGCCATCACACTTTCCCCTACCAGCACCTGCACCACACAGCAAAATTACCCATCGTCACACAACGCATGCACTCAATTGACACCTCTCACTTAAGTGAGGAGTGGGCTTCTCGACTCCTTCTCCATGTGGCACCTGTGCTGCATGTGTGATCCGAGTCGATCGCGGTGCGCCAACCGCCGTGATTTAGGTTGCCGACTGACGTCTCAACTCGGTCCACGCAGTCAGCCCAGTTGTGCGTTTGTATTGAGTGGCAGATTGATGGGCCGAGAGTGTGGCTGTAATGGTTCCTTCTTAACATAACCTCTGGCACCTCCACACATGTGAGGAGTGTGCATGTAAATGGATAATGTCTCTCAGTCGATGAGTGACTGGTTACCCGGCCTTTCAAGGGTGATGGCCCAGGCTAAATGCAGGGCTGCGTCTCACCCTTCTGGGCTTTAGGGATTGTGTGCGTCTGCCATGATTCACCAAACCATGGCCATCGCAGCCTGCCGTGCGCTCGCAATTCTCTGGCACCTGGTCCACTGCCAGTGGATGCGCTTGCGCTTTCGCTGGGTATACAGGCCGTGTGTATGGTTGCCCAGTGACTTGTGTCACCTCCTCCTCTTTCCGACCCATTTTTTTCTTGGTTAAAACCCTGGTCGGGGTTGGGTATGAATGGCTGACGACGGCTAATAAGCCAGAAATGGCCATTCCAGTCTCCCTTGTCTTTGTCGGTAATACCATACTGCCTAGTCAAGTGTTTGTTGCAGACCCGGGGGTTGGAGGTAGACCTAGGTGCGGGTCCGCCCGTGCCAGGCACATGCGTCCTCTCTGGCCTTTGGTCTTCTTGGCTATGCCTTGACACCGGGCTCAAATGGGGGCAGAGGGAATGAGGTAGACGCCGTGCACGCGCAAGTCACCGTTTCTGCCTCAGGTTGCTGTGGAGCACACGGTCGACATCGTCGACAACGACGGCCCAACTGCCATCAATTACATCCTGTAAATACTGCATCAATTGTGCGTCCACTAAGTTATCTGCGACCGTCTCTGATGATGGACTCCTGCAAGAATTCGAAATGTGGAGCGAGAAAACGTCCGGTTCCAGCGATTCCACCTGATTCTTTTGGGAGAGTAGGTTATTTGCTGGCTGATGCTTTGGGCATCTTGTTAGCGAAGACAAAAGACCGACAGGTACATGGCCGGAGAAGTCAGAAAGTAGTGTAAAATTCGGATTGATTTTTACGTGACAACTGACAGCAGATCTACCTGTTCGGAACGTCAGTCAGTTAACTGACTTGCTTAGACGAATAGCAAGCATCATGTCATGCACGACCATTTCCAATGAATGCAGTGGCTAATTTCGATAGATATATCATAGCTCACCAAGTACATACCATGAATACTGCAACTCCTTTGCTTCAAATACTCTCATTTATTGCTGTTTGCGATGAGAAGTTCGAGTGTGAGTCGGAAACGTCAGGTGAATACAACTTTTGCTCCAATGACCAAGTCCTCTTCTTCTCGACAAGTATCATTTGTTGCGGGCAAGTTGCAGCCGCAAAATTCAAGCACACTGACCTTACTAGACTCAAAGTCGCCCGGATCCATTGGCTGTGCTCTAAAAATGCCCGGTCTTTCTTGTGGGTGTGTCATAGGTTTGAGTCTGGTGGAGCTTTGGACTCTTGGAAATGGAAGCCTGGGAATAAGCCCAAAACGGCACCTTGGGCCATAGCCACAATATTTGACACCATGACTGGGCCTCATTTCTAATTATTAGGCCACTTCTTGTAAACGCTGCAAGACTCGTCTAGTTTACTTTATTGATAATCATAGCTGTGTGCGCAGCATTAGTTAGTCATCATCATACGGAATACATGGATGAGCTTGAGTTGGTGAAGGCTACGAGGCCCGAGTTTGATAAATGCGATCGATAGGTGGGTAATCGAATTCGCGAATGTCGGTCGCAATCATTTAGCTAACTCCATAAGAACGATATGCTAGGGCGGGTTGGGATACCACGACTGTAAGTAAGTACTTTAATCGGCAAAACCAGTCAAATGTAAGGCGGTTTCAGGTAACTCAAAGAACTTACTCTTCATCATTGCTGTCTTCATCAAAAGTGTACAAGAAATCCGGTGGCACATCGACGAACTGCACGCTAGGTGCGTGCGTCAGCTGCTTGAGATTGTCGTGCACAGTTGTTCGTAGAGCCTCAATGTACTGAAATTTGGCACAGATGAACATAGAGTTAGGTCTAATTTCAATGTCAGGTCCACGATCACACACAAACGGGACTCTCCGATGGATGACACCAGTTACGTTACTAACGGGCCCTGTCCACAAACTGACTACCGGAGACAAGAAAGTGTGGTAGCAGGACCGATAGCTGCGTTGTAAAACCGGTAAGGGGGTCGCGCCGTGCGTCTGGAGATCCAAAAACTAAGCGCCCTCCGCCCCACAGCGCCTGCTATGACAATAATTGGATCTATACCGTGGGTGGCCTTGTCACACATACGGTCACACGCAGGCACTCCCAAGTGTAGTCTAGTGGTCAGTACACTGGCGCCATCTGTTAGACTATGTACAAAGACGTGGTTGATCAAATTATCTACTACTTTCTCCGCATAACCCAATTGTAGGGAGTCTACTATCTCACGTGGATTCGAACATGATTTGGGTACAGCCAACATTCCAACCACCTGATCTACATGACCCCGACTGAACACTCCGAGTTCAATCATATGTCGTTAAGTTGCCCCCCAAGCCTACTGCAACGTAAGCAATTCACTAATTGTGACACGGTGAGCCGTTTGCTAGGGCAATTTTCCCCAAAAAATCAATCTAGAACCCAACGAATGATTACCCACGGAGGTCGCCGGGTTTTTCACAACTGGGTCGGAGGAACTATTTAAATCTGCCATAAGCACCTAAAGGTAGCAGTGCATATGGAAACGCTGAGGGAAAAACTGTTTATAGGCCATTGAATTAGTCAGAAGGAAAGCAAACACGGAGCATACTTGACGAGTATTGGCGTTGTCCAACTTTGTTGTAAGATCGGGATGAAGAGTGTAGTCGGGAGAGAAGTACTGAATGTACTCCGAGTACGGCAACTCATTGGGTATGACATCCTCCTGACCCAGTAGGACGGCGGTTTCATAAGCCCAACACCGTGCAACATTGCGTACCGTGTAACCACCACCTCCCAGCACAAGGAGGGGGATGTTGAGACCCTTGACGAAACGCACGCAGCTTCCGTGGCCGCGGATAGAGAGGTTAAAGACGCCAAGACGGTCGCAGCCTAGGGAATCCGCCCCGCATTGCAGGACTATGGCAGTTGGTCGATAGAACTGCACCACATCAGTAATGACGGATTTGAAGATGGAGAAGTACATGTCGTCATCTATACCTTCCTTTAGAGGCACATTAACGGAGTAATATTTCCCGTTCTCAACTCCCACCTCGAACATATCTCCTGCAAAGACAAAAACAAGAGATGGAAAGGAATTATGATAAACGCAACTAACAGGTTGGGAAAGTATGTGAATCTGTCCTTACTAATGTTGTTTAAGTATCCAGTGACAAAAATTTCCCTTCACTTGTTATAGAACACAGGGCACCAACTTGCGGAAACACCCTTTGGGATACCAGAGGATGAGGTACTACATTCGAAAGGGCGATAAGACCTTCGTCGAGAGGTCTTGGTTTTCCATGACCGTTGTGAGCAGCATCTTAAACCGACGGTCATGATCTCGGTCTAGAAAATTTTGACCAGACAAACGGTTTGGCTCCGTCCTTTCGTGAGTCCGTTGTGATCCGCAAACTCAATGGTGGACGGCTAACCTGGCAACAGACTAATCACTTTCGCCGACGTTTGTGAATGAATTCAGTGCACCAGCGCCGTTTACATGAAAAAGGAGACTTAAAGTGGAGTGCATCAAAAGTGGTTCATTAGATTGTCATGCATAAATAAAGGCGGTCTATATTTGCATTGGAGACCTCGCCTACCGATTATCAAAAGATGGTTATCAAGGCCGGGCTTGAAGAGCAGACACAAGGACCAAAGGGGGAAAGAAAAACAAGATGGGTAGTAATCCCGGCTCTGGGCCACACCAGGTTGTCATCGTGGCAAGACGCGGGGAAAGAACCAAATGGACTGAGATAGACGGGCGTTTGGAGGGGAAAGCGACTTGTCTGGAACCTGGGGAATTCCATTCCCTCCAAACTTCCGGAAAAACTACACAGAGAACCCGGGGCACGTTTAAGATTCGTCAGTTAAAAGGCCAGCAAAGAGCTAAGAAGACTTACATAGGAGTTATTCACAAGGAAAACACATTCAAACGATGTTTAGGAATAAGAGTATAGCTTATGTTAAACCAAAGGTATGTCTTGCCTGTTCCTGGGAAAAAGAGATTTCCGTAACGGTGAAAAGAGACAGTCATCACACGGTCGGTCAGGTAAAAGGCTTCTTGAACGCCATCCCCGTGGTGTACATCAATGTCTATGTAGAGCACACGCGCATGGTGTCTAGACAGAACGTAAAAGATGTGTGGGCTTACTTTAAAAGTTCCAGAATCGCGATAACAATGTCATTGACATAGCAAAATCCGGAGGCCTAGAAATAGAACTGAGATAGGCAGCTCACCTCGAATTTTTTCGCATGATGAAGACCTCCTGCCCAGTTAATGGCAATGTCTGTGAACTAAAGCAATCAGAAAATAAAGCAAGAGTACCCCTGCGTTTAGATACTTGGCACCTTGTAATGACGCTCCGGTGTACATGGAACAGAACTGGTAAATCCCATCAAAAATTGGGCTAGGCGGATTAATAGAAAATATACAGCAATTACCAGTCCTCTCCAACGTTGTACGACAGTAGCTTTTCTTTAGAATACATGTTTAGGTTTGTTGGCGTAACATCTCGGAGAAATTCAATATACTCCTGTGTATGGAACGTTATCATGTCTTTCATTGTGGCCTTCGGTGCTTTGTAAATCTTCAGGATTTGAGGTGCTTAACGAAGTAATACCTGCATCTTCGACGTCAAATCATAACTCAAAACTAGTGTGTGCGCAAGGGTAAGTCTGTGGGGCTTCATTGGATGATTGGGTCCATAATGGAAATTCCCACAGTTGGGGTCATAAAAATAAACCACTCGCTTTTCTTTTGTCATGATGAAGATCGCTTATGCGCACCGGTATTAGGGCGTCAATCTTCTGAAAGAACGAGAAACTGCATACAAATGCGAACTATATGCCTCTCTTTCGGCGTAAAGACAAGTCACACGAAAGTTTACAAAAAGTATAATACAGGAAGGGTGTGGAACAGCACACAGTACAAACGGCCTTATTAAAAAAAATAGTGGCCCGTCAAATGTTCACTGTTGCGCAAGCCATGAAGTCTAAGCAAGCGATGTAAATCACATCGCACATCCCGTAAAGAGAATCAAGGTTCATCCGCAAGACTGATGAGCGCATATTAAACAAACGGACGCCGTTTTACTAATGACTGAGCATGCCAAGAAGCAAACGTCGATTTTGTAGAACAAAGTCATAGTTGTGACTTCGAAGAAGGTTTTCGGCCATGTGAACAGCCGTGCCAAGGGCAGTACCTGTCTTGGCGACACGTCGGACCAGACCATAAGCGTGAGCTTGCTCAGCTGTTAACGTAGGATTATTGATAAGTAACTCGAGAGCCCGTGACCCGCCAACAAGAAAAGCCAGGCGTTCGATCGAACCCTTAACGATGGGGAGGGATGTCTTTGAAGCGAAGCAAAAAGTGCAGTCGGGTTCGGATATTCTGACGTCACACGCTAACGCGAGATCAAACCCGCATCCGAAGGCGTGGCCGCTGATGGCGGCAAATGTTGGCTTCCTGAAGATCAACATTTCTCGTGTGTTCGGCACAAAGGGCATAAAACTTGCATGAACTTCAGAGTGACTACCAGAAATCTCCTGTTGGTCCCAGCCTTCACAAAAATTTCCACCTTCACCATAGATTACAGAGGCGGCTATACTGTCGTCTTCCTCGAACTCAGTTTTAATTGTCGCCTTCAGAAGCTCGGCCGTGCTGAAATCGAGCATATTAGCCCGGGCCGGCCGGTTTAGTCCGATCAACAGCAAACGCCCAATCCTTTCTCGAATAATTGATGCCATGTACTGTGACGCTTACGCAAACGAGATTCTCAGTATAGTTTCCGTGAAAAAGCGTTAATGTACTGAAATATTTTGAATCTCGCGCACGTCATCTAAGTATGTTTGAAGTATTTGTCAATGGAAGGCTTAGTACCCACCAGCTCATGTTCAATCCAACCAAGTATATATTTGGTTGCACGCCTTGATGTACTATACAGTATACTAAGACATCATTTTTTCCAACGTCTGCGAAGATACCGTATTCCACCTAAGCACTTGTGACAAGTCAAGCAGGTGGTTGTTTAAGGCACAGCTACAATCAGAGCAAACAGCGAATGCTGGCATTTACCTAGGGGGAGTAAACGAAAAAAAAGAAGAAGACAGTCGGGACCCGAAAATGAAAGAAGTCGAATAAGAAGGTTATGTGCAATAGAACTGGGAGCACTACCATAGACTCAAAGAAACGTTCAACATATCTCTCTTAAGTGACAGATAAAGGTGATTCAAAAACCGCAGTGTTACGGGCGAAATCATGGACATCGAGGCATTTGGCGCCATTCTTCTGAAATATTCAAGGGTACTACATCTAATAGTAGCGATGTTCGTAACAGACCGTAGCACATCTCTCACAACTGCAAACGAAGCAATTTTCTCAAAAAATGATGTCACTAGCAACCACGCATTATGGTCTTTTGCAAAGAAGTAAACTGCATATGAAAAAAACGAAAATCGGCACTATGCAAATATTTGAAATTAGCATGGACACAGAACAAGATGACCACGCAAAAGCATTTTAATCATACACCGAAAAATTCTGCATAAACGATTACTCTAAATTTCGCACCGTAGTAAGCGAGGATAGATATCATAACTAATTAAACACTAAATGCAGCGACGAAGGAAATATGTGTGTAAACATATGGTAATGACTGCATAACCAGCTGGGTGCCAAGGTAACTAGTCTTTATGCCGTTGAAAATAAGTCTAAAATGGATTCTAAGTGGCTGCTCTGGCATAATCCGATGTATGCGATTCATACAGCTTTTCTGCTACGTACTTTTCGACATGATTACCTAACTTGCTGACTACTGCGAGATCATACTCATTTCCACTACTAATATGAGAATTACTGACACCCCGAGATCCACTGCTGCCACCAGTGTTAATGTCGTTACTACTACCACTACTAAGAGCATTCTTAGTGATACTAATGTACTCTGCTTGTGCCTTCTTATGTGCATTTGCCTACGAAAGGGTTGTGAGTTGAAGTGGCTTACATTGCATTGCCTGTGGGATGGTGTGCATAAGGGTGCATCGACGACTGTGACCGTGAATATTCGTGTGTCCGTGCTGAAGTTAGTTTTGTGACCGCATTTCAGCGCGTCTTGGATAAAGTTGGGCTGCTCTGTAACAGGAACCTTTGTGGCAAAATTGAGTAACCCCGTGATGTTTGAACTGTAAGTAACTTCGATGTGGACGACCGCTGTGCAGCCCTACTGGGGGGTTGTTTTATGGTATGTTTGTCGAAATGACAAGAGTAGTTATGTTTGAGTCGGCCTACAATTTCTTCTCGTCGGCTATGGACAGGCGTCCTTGCACAGGTCTGACAATAAGGCTTCACAACTATTCGCAGTTACTGTAAGAATTAGCAGTTAGGTTATTTTGGAGAGTCAGGTTTGTGTTTCGTAGTTAGGGTTAGGGTCGGGTTTTGAAGTGAGATTAACAGTCAACGTGAGCTGTAGAATTTAAGTTTAGAAATTAAGTGTAGGGTTAGCATAGAGGCTATCAGGTAGGGCTACAGTTAAGGGTTAAGTTGGGTGCTATTGCTAGGTCAAGCATTTTGTCTAAGTTGTAAATGTTATACTTAGAAATTCCAGTTAGGTATAAGGCAAGTAGTTAGGTTTCGGCTAGGTCAAGTCGTTACGTCCAATGTTAGGTTATAAATAAGGGCTAGGGCTAGAGTTGGAACTCAAGTTTAATAAATAACGAAAATATTAAGTCTATGATTAGGGTAAGCAGTTAGTGTTAGGGCAAAAATTAGGGGTAGTGCTAGGATCGGGGTTGAAATCAGTGTCGGGTTTAGGTTTAGTAGTTATAGTTAAGGTTACGACTAGGATAGGTATAGGTTTGGGGCGTATGATGGCATGGAATTTGATGCTTCACTGGCCATCCACATCGGCGGTTCAATCTCAGTGGCAGCAAATCTTTTCGAATGGGAGTACTAAACCACCTGGGACGACTTGGTCGTCAGCTCTATTTCGTTCAACAGTGTTTGTTTATCCATTTAAGGTCCTGTTCGTCTTCGTGGTTTACATGTGCTCTACCCAGAACTCAAGAATAGTTGCGAATTCTTGAACAATTATCAGTTATGTATAGCAAAAGTGCAATTTAGATGGGCTACATCTCCAGACAACCTTTTAGCAAATTAACGGTCTTCATCTGCTGGTCTTACTATACTACAGACTCTGTGTATTGACCTTGATTATGCCATCGGCAATCCTGATTTGTAGACTTATTCTGAACGGGATTCTCATGAATATTCGGTCAGTTTCCGCGGTTTGTGTAGGTTTCTTAAACACTTTTCAAGCGTTTTATTCTTAGCGTCAATGAATGACCTTGAGGCAGCGAGGTCTTGAACAATGACGCCAGACCAGTCAGGATGGCTAGTCGACACAAGTTCCCGAATGACAGGCTCCACTCTAGCCCCTTAAATATGTGAAGGGCGTGTAAGAGATGCCCGCGAAGTTGTCTAAAACACAAAGGCAATAGATTCAGTTTTACTAAGCGGTCTTGATAAGGAAGGCGTTCTGACCCCTAACTGTTTTTGTGGTTCTCCTCTGAACTCTTTTGAGACTAGCTTAATTTTGAAACGCCCATGGTCCCCAGGCTTGTATGTCGTATTCCAAGTGCGGCCGCACGAATGTTCCGAGAGTCTTAGAGAAAGCGTCTTCGTCAAAATCCATAAACGCACGCTTGATGGCGTACAGTACGGACATTGCCCTTTTTGCCGCTCGCGAACAATGGGCGGATATTTTTTTTCTAGAGTTCGTCTTGATCACACCGAGCCGTTTTAGTTTCCGACGTATTGTAAGGCTGCAACGCCCAGAAAGTAGTTTCTTGGGCTGGCGGATCTGGAGGTGTTCCCTAGACGAAGTATGTTATACTTACCAACGTTAAACCGCAGGAACCTATAATTTGACCACACTTCTAACCGATTTAGGTTCATTTGAAGTATGTGTTCGTTGGCAGGACCCCTAATTGCAGTCTATATCTTCATGTCCTCTGCAGCCATTGCTTCTTTGCAGTTCAACGCTCTTGTGCAATCGTCAACGTATATGAGGAGCAAAATGGGTCCTAGTACTGTCCCCGTGTGGACAGCACCCTCGACCACAGCAGGATCTGATTTTCCTTGACCGATGCCTCCGTGGGCCACACACATAAAAGTCCATTACCATAATTTCCGTCCATGCAGTGTCCTTTTTATCTACCCAACGTCAGGGAGGAAACAACTGATTGTCGTGAAAGCAAAATACTGGAACAGGGGTCACTGTGGACTACAGCTCCAACGCGACCACTGCGGTCACATAATTAACTTTGGCTCGGACACGTTAACAGTCAGTCACAGTCGTCAATGTACCCTTATGCACAACATCCCAAACCTAGTGCAATGTAAACTACTCCAACGTACAACCCTTTCGTAAACCAACACACAGCAATAGCCAGAAGCAGTCTCCACTTTGATCCACTGCACATATGAAAACAGCTCACATCCAAGTATCGCTGACTGAGACACGATGTAACGCCGCAAACACACCTCCTGACCTCGCCACTGGGCACTGCCTCCTGAGACAGCATACTCAGATTTTATTTAATGAACTTCCTTATTCTTGTATTTTTTACT